TGGGGAAATTGGTTAAAAATGGGGGGAAATGGGTTAAAAATGGGGGGAAATCGGTTAAAAATGGGGGAAATTGGTTAAAAATGGGGGGAAATTGCTTAAAAATGGGGAAATGGGTTAAAAATGGGGGGAAATGGGGGAAAATGGGGGGAAATGGGTTAAAAATGGGGGAAAATGGGAAGAAAAGAGGCGGGATTGAGAAAATGGGGTAAAAATTGGGGTGGAAAAGGGCAGAATTGGGTAAAATGGGGTAAAAAGGGTGGATTTAGGGGGACAAGAAGGGTAAATGGGGGGGTTCACCCCCCCCCCCTTTGCTCACCTCCAGCTCCGCCCCCTCGGGGTCCTTGTCCCCGCCCTCAAAGGGGCGGAGCGAAGCCAGGAGGCGCACGCAGGCCCGGCGCCGATTGGCTGGCTCCCAGCAGCCGAAAGCCTATGGGAGGAGAGAGGGGGGCAGGGGGCGGGGCTTAAGGATGGGGCAGGGCCTATGGGCAACAGGGGCCAATAGGAGACTATGTGAGCATGGATAAAGGGGCGTGGCCTAATGAAGAGGGGCGTGGCCTGTGGGAAGGGCCAATAGGAGGCATTATGGGTATGGGGGTGTGGCCTAAGGACAGTGAGAGCCAATAGGAAGCTATGAGGGCTATGGGGGTTTGGGTTAAGTGGGGGCGTGGCCTATGGGATTGAAGGGACAATAGGAAAGGAGCAATAGGAAGCATTATGGGCTTGGGGGCGTGGCTTAAGGGGTGGGGGCGTGACCTATGGGATTGAAGGGCCAATAGGAAGCATTATATGCTTAAGGGGTGGGGATGGCTTAAGAGGAAGGGGGCGTGGTTAAGGGGAGGGGGCGTGGCCTATGTGTAACGAAGGGCCAACAGACAGCATTATGGACAATGGGCGTGGCTTAAGGGAGGAAAGGGGAGTGGCTTGAGGGGAGTGGCTTAAAGGGAGGGGCGTGGCTTAAGGGGGGGAGTGGCTTATGGGCATGAAGCACCATTAGGAAGCATTATGGGCAATGGGGGCACTGCTTAAGGGGAGGGGCGTGGCCTAAGAGGAAGGGGCGTGGCTTAAGGGCGAAGGGGCGTGGCTTGAAGGGGGAGTGGTCTAAAGGGATGAAGCGCCTTTAGGAAGCATTGAATGCAATGGGGGCACTGCTTAAGGGGAGGGGCGTGGCTTAAGGGCGAAGGGGCGTGACTTAAAGGGGCGTGGCTTGAGGGCGAAGGGGCGTGACTTAAGGGGGAGTGGCTTTAAGGGGCGTGGCCTATGGGAGTGAAGCACCATTAGGAAGCATGATGGGCAGTGGGGGCACTGCTTAAGTGGAGGGGCGTGGCTTAAGGGCAGAGGGGCGTGGCTTAGAGGCGAAGGGCGTGGCTTTAAGGGGCGTGGCTTAATGGCGAAGGGGCGTGGCTTGAAGGGGGAGTGGTCTAAAGGGATGAAGCGCCTTTAGGAAGCATTGAATGCAATGGGGGCACTGCTTAAGGGGAGGGGCGTGGCCTAAGGGGAAGGGGCGTGGCTTAAGGGCCAAGGGGCGTGGCTTAAGGGGGCGTGGCCTACCTGGAGGAGGCAGCGCAGCGCCTCCTGCTGGACGGGCGGGTGCCGGCGGCAGGCACCCATGAGGGCCGTGAGGACCCCGTGGTGACCCCGGGCCAAGGGCTCGGCCAATGAGGGCCCGAGTTCCGAGAGCACCGCCTCCACCTGCGACGGGATTGGACGGGCCTGAGCCCCGCCCCTTTGGCCGCTTGGCCAATGAGGGGGGTGCCTAGGGGGGGCTCTATGGGGATCTGTGGGGGATCTATGGGGCTTTATGGGGCTCTATGGAGTCCCTATGGGACTCTATGGGGTCTCTATAGGGCACTTATGGGTCTCTATGGGGTCTCTATAGGGTCTCTATAGGGCACTTATGGGTCTCTATGGGGCTTTATGGGGCTCTATGGGGTCTCTATAGGGCACTTATGGGTCTCTATGGGGTTCCTATGGGTCTCTATAGACATGGACTCCATGGGACATGAGGTCAACCCCCATTGGGGTCTCTCTATGGGGCACTTGTGGGTCATGTATGGATCCCTATGGAGCACTTATGGGTCCCTATGGAGCACTTATGGGTCCCTATGGGGCACTTATGGGTCCCTATGGGGCACTTAGGGGTTTCTATGGGTCAGTATGGGTCACTTACGGATCTCTGTGGGTCCCTAAGGGTCACCTATGGGTATGTATGAGGCTCTTATGGGTCACTTATGGGTCTCTATGGGTCATGTATGGACCTCTATGGGTCCCTACGGGGCACTTATGGGTCTCTATGGGGCTCTTATGGATCTCTGTGGGTCTCTATGGGGCACTTATGGGTCTCTATGAGTGCCTATGGGCTACTTATGGGTCCCTATGGGTACCACTGGGTCCCTATAGGGCACTTATGGGCCTCTATGGGGTCCATATAGGGTCTCTATGGGTCCCTATGGGTCATGTATGGACCTCTATGGGTCCCTACGGGGCACTTATGGGTCTCTATGGGCCTCTTATGGATCTCTGTGGGTCTCTATGGGGCACTTATGGGTCTCTATGAGTGCCTATGGGCTACTTATGGGTCCCTATGGGTACCACTGGGTCCCTACGGGTCCCTATAGGGCACTTATGGGCCTCTATGGGGTCCATATAGGGTCTCTATGGGTCCCTAGGGGTCATGTATGGATCTCTATGGGTCCCTATGGGGCACTTATGGGTCTCTATGGGACTCTTATGGATCTCTGTGGGTCTCTATGGGGCACTTATGGGTCTCTATGGGGCACTTATGGGTCTCTATGAGTCCCTATGGGCTACTTATGGGTGTCTATGGGTACCAATGGGTCCCTATAGGGCACTTATGGGTCTCTATGGGTCGCTATAGGGCACTTATGGGCCTCTATGGGGTCCATACAGGCTCTCTATGGGTCGCTATGGGTCTCTATGGGCTTCATTCCCCCCCCCCCCCACCTACCACGTCACCGGGGGCGTGGTCCAGCAGGCGCTGCAGGCCGTGATTGGCCACTCGGTGATTGGCCACGCCCTCAGGCGGCCCCGCAGCTCCCATTGGAAGAGCTCCCGCAGAAGGGGCGGAGCCAGCACCGTCATGGCCGCCTCCAGCACCCGGCTGCGTTCGGGGTCCTCCAGCGCCGCCACCAGGCCGCTGGCCAATCAGCAACGAGAGGGGGGGGCGGGACCGGCCAATCAGAGGCCAGGCCCCCCCCCGAGGTAACCAATGAGGAGAGGGGGATGCGAGACAGTGGGAAGGGTGAGTTTTGGGGCTAAAAAGGGCAATTTTGGGGCTGAAAGGGATCATTTTGGGTCTAAAAAGGCAATTTTGGGGCTAAAAGGGATCATTTTGGGGTTAAAAAGGGCAATTTTGGGTCTAAAAGGGATCATTTTGGGGTTAAAAGGGCAATTTTGGGGCTAAAAGGGATCATTTGGGGTCTAAAAAGGGCAATTTTGGGGTTAAAAGGGATCATTTTGGGGTTAAAAAGGGCAATTTTGGGTCTAAAAGGGATCATTTTGGGGACAAAAAGGGCAATTTTGGGGCTAAAAGGGCAATTTTGGGTCTGAAAAGGGATCATTTTGGGGCTAAAAGGGCCGATTTTGGGGCTAAAAGGGATCATTTTGGGGCTAAAAGGGCCGATTTTGGGTCTTAAAGAGCCAATTTTGGGGCTAAAAGGGATCATTTTGGGGTTAAAAAGGGCAATTTTGGGGCTAAAAGGGATCATTTTGGGCTAAAAGGGCCGATTTTGGGTCTTAAAGAGCCAATTTTGGGGCTAAAAGGGATCATTTTGGGGTTAAAAAGGGCAATTTTGGGTCTAAAATGGATCATTTTGGGGCTAAAAGGATCATTTTGGGTCTAAAAGGGCCAATTTTGGGTCTAAAAAGGGCTCATTTTGGGTCTAAAAGGGCTCATTTGGGGGCTAAAAGGGCCAATTTTGGGTCTTAAAGGGCCAATTTTGGGTCTAAAAGGGTCAATTTTGGGGCTAAAAGAGCAATTTTGGGTCTAAAAGGGCCAATTTTGGGCCTAAAAGAGCCAATTTTGGGTCTAAAAGGGTCAATTTTGGGTCTAAAAGGGCCAATTTTGGGTCTAAAAGGGCTCATTTTGGGTCTGAAAAGGGGTGGGAGCGAGGCACCAATGAGAGCGCAGGCGGGAAGCGGGCAGCAGCCAATGAGGGGGGAACTCACCCGGGGCCGGGGGCGAGCTGGCCAATGAGAGCGCGGCAGAGGCGGGCGCAGGCAGGCGATTGGCTGCGGTGCAGCACCTCGAGCGCCACCTGCAGGCAGAGGCTGGCGCAGGGCGGGGACAGGAGGGCTGGGGGGTTAATGAGGGGTAATTAACACTAATTAACATTAATTAACGCTAATTAGGGGTAATTAAGGCTAATTAAGAGCTATGCGTAATAAGGACTAATTAATATGCTAATTAAGCTCCATAAAAGGGGTAAATGAGGGACAATTAAAAGTAATTAAGACCGGAAGATGATTCAAACTAATTAATTAAATAAGATTAATTAGTAATGCTAATTAGCCTCTAAAATTAATTAATAGTAATTAATGGACTAATAGCGCTAAGTGAATAAAGTAATTAATAGATATTTTAATTAATATTTTAATTAATTTTGAGTTATTATTGGTGTAATTCAGTTTGTTGGGATAATTAAGAATAATAAACAGTAATTAAGAACTAAAGGTAATCAGGCATAATTAAAGGAGTAATTAAGCTAATTAGATGGGATAATAAAGGGAAATGGAATGGTAATTAAGAGACAAAGGTGATTAGCACTCATTAACACAATTTAATTAATTAATTAACTAATTATTACAATTAAATTAATTAAATCATGAGAAATTAAGTAGTAACTAATGGTAATTAAGGCCTAAAAGTAATTGAAAGGAAATAATAAAGTAATTAAGTTAATTAAACGGGTGATTAAGGGACTATTAACAGTTACTAAGAATTAAAAACAATTACAAGTAATTAATGGAGTATTAAGCTAATTAAATGGACTAATTATGAAGTAATTAAGAGCCAATAAAAATAATAGTAATTAATGGGGTAATTAAGTTATTAAATGGGATAACTAAGGAGAAATCAATGGTAATTAGGAGTTAAAGGCAATTAGAAGGGATTAATAGTGTAACTAAGTTAATTAAACAGGGTCATTAAGGGGTAGGGGTAATGAAGGGTGTACTTGGAGCACTTAAGGGCAATTAAGGGGGTAATTAGGGGTAAAAGTAATTAAGTGGACATAATTAAGAGCAATCAAAGAGAATAATATCTGAGAGCAATTAGGGACAATTAGAACACAATTAATTAGTGCTATAATTAAGACAATGAAAAATAATTAGCAAGGTAATAATGAGAAGTTTGGTAATTAGATGATTAATGTTATGCTAATTAGGGTAAATTCATCTAGGTAATTAAAATTAAGCAGGTGGGTAATTAAGGTTTTGGGGGCTAATTAATAGACATAATTAAGAATTAATTAAAGACTAATTAAGAAATAAAGGTATTATGGGGTTATTAACAACACAATTAGCAGTAATTAAAGGTAATTAACAGTTAATTAAAGGCTTAACGTGATTAATTAAGGTTACAGATAATTAAGGGGTTAATTAAGAGCACTCAAAGACAACAACTAAGACTAATTAACACTAATTAAAACCTGAATAATTAAAGCTGTAATATCATCTAATTAAGGATATAAAAATTAACAACCTAATAATGAAAAGCTTGTTAATTAGATAATAATATGCTAATTAGAGACAATTCATCTAGCTGATTAACTGCAATTAAAGCTGTAATTACACCTGATTAAGAAGATAAAAAATAATTAACAACCTAATAATGAAGAATTTGTTAATTAGATAATAATACGCTAATTAGGGTCAATTCATCTAGATAATTAACTGCAATTAAGCAGTTGGGTAATTAGATTTGGGGGGCTAATTAATAGAATTAAGTGCAATTAAAAACTATTTAAGAATTAATTAAAGGCATTGTGGGGTAATTAAGGACATAATTAGCACTAATTAAGAGTGCTTAACAAGTAAAGGCTTAATTAGCATGTAATTAATTAGGGGTAATTAAGGGGTTAATTAAAAGCATTCAAAGACAACAAATAATATCTGAGTATAATTAACACTAATTATAAGTAATTCAATCTAATTAAGACAATAATAATTAAACAATGTAATAATGAGGAGTCTGTTAATTAGATAATTAATAATATGCTAATTAGGCTCAATTCATGTATGTAATTAACTGCAATTAAGCAGTTGGGTAATTAGGTGTAATTCCGGCTAATCAAGATCAGTAATTAGGGGGGTAATTAACAGTAATTCCACATTAATTAAAGGCATTATTTGGGATAATTAATGGGCTAATTAGGAGCAATTAATAGCTAGTTAAAGGCTTAATTAGGAGGTAATTAATTAAACCACCGAGTAATGAGGAGTTTGTTAATTAGATGATTAATAATATGCTAATTAGGGTCAATTCATCCAGGTAATTAACAGCAATTAAGCAGTTGGGTAATTAGGTGTAATTCCGGGTAATCAAGATGAATAATTAGGAAATAATTAACAGTAATTCCACATTAATTAAAGGCATTATTTGGGATAATTAATGGGCTAATTAGGAGCAATTAATAGCCAATTAAAGGCTTAATTAGGAGGTAATTAATTAGGGTTAATTAAGAGCACACTCACAGTGCAGGTGCTTCTCAAAGGCCTCCGCCAGCTGCTCCAGCAGGGGGGGGAAGGAGGGCGGAAGCTCCGCCCCCTTTGCCTCTGGCCCCGCCCCATTGGCTGCAGGCTCCGCCCCTTTCTCCTTTGGCTCCGCCTCCTGGGCTGCAGGCCACGCCCCTCCAGGGGGGCGCGCTAGGGGGGGGAGGGAGCCCCTTTAGCACCCCCATAGCCCCCCTATAACCGCCCCATAGCCCCCTATAGCGCCCCATAGCCCCCTATAACCGCCCCATAGCCCCCTATAGCGCCCCATAGCCCCCTATAACCCCCCCATAGCCCCCCTTTAACCACCCCATAGCCCCCTATAGCACCCCATAGCCCCCTATAGCACCCCCATAGCCCCCTATAACCGCCCCATAGCCCCCTATAACCCCCCCATAGGCCCCTATAACCCCCCCATAGCCCCCTTTAACCCCCCTTTAACCCCCTTTAACCCCCCCATAGCCCCCTATAACCACCCCATAGCCCCCCTATAACCCCCCCATAGCCCCCTTATAACCACCCCATAGACCCCCTTTAACCCCCTATAGCCCCCTATAACCCCCCCATAGCCCCCCTTTAACCCCCCCATAGCCCCCTATAGCACCCTATAGCGCCCCATATCCCCCCATAGCCCCCTATAGCGCCCCATAGCCCCCTTTAATCCCCCATAGCCCCTTTAACCCCCCATAACCCCCCCATAGCCCCCCTTAAGCCCCCCATAGCTCCTTTTACTCCCCCATAGCCCCCTTTAACCGCCCCATAGCCCCCTATAGCACCCCCATAGCCCCCTATAACCTCCCCATAGCCCCCTACAGCACCCCATAGCCCCCTATAACCACCCCATAGCCCCCTTTAACCCCCCCATAGCCCCCTTTAACCACCCCATAGTCCCCTTATAACCACCCCATAGCCCCCTTTAACCGCCCCATAGCCCCCTATAGCCCCCTATAGCACCCTATAGCCCCCTATAGCACCCTATAGCACCCTATAGCACCCTATAGCACCCTATAGCACCCTATAGCCCCCTATAGCCCCCTATAGCACCCTATAGCCCCCCCCCATGCCTTTACCTGCCTCGGGGGCCCCCCCCAGCACCCGGAGCAGCGCCCGCAGCACGAAGCTACTTGGGGGGTGCCTGGCGATCGTCACCAGCTCCCCCCCCACGGCGCCCCCCAAGTGCCCTATAGCGGCTTCCACCTGCCCCATAGCGGCCTCCCCCTGCCCCATAGCGGCCTCCCCCTGCCCCATAGCGGCCAGCACACGGAGCAAGGCTGCTTCCAGCACCCGAGCACCCAAAGGGTGCCCCATAGGGCCCTGAAGCCCCCCTTGGATGAGGTGGGGCAGGAGCTGCCCCATAAGCGGCAATGGGGCCGTGGGGAGAAGGGCCTGGAGCAGGCGGGAGCCCCATGGGTCCAGGGCGAGGGCGGGGATGCTCCTGGAGGCCTCGTGGAGGACGTTGGGGGCGAAAAGGGCTGCGGAGAGAAGGGAAATGAGGCAAAAAAGGGGGAATTTCCCCCAAAAATGAGGGGGGAAAGGGGGGGGAAGGGGTTCAAAAGGGGGAAGGAAGAGGGGAAAAGGGGGGGATGGGGGAAAATGGGGACAAAAAGGGGGAAATGGGGCGAAAATGGGGACAAAAAGGGGGAAAATGGGGCGAAAATGGGGCAAAATGGGGCAAAATGGGGCCAAAAAGGGTGAAAATAAGGTCAAAATGGGGCAAAATGGGGCAAAAAAGGGTGAAAATGGGGCCAAATGGGGCCAAAAAGGGTGAAAATGGGGGCAAAATGGGGCAAAATGGGGCCAAAAAGGGTGAAAATGGGGCCAAAATGGGGCAAAATGGGGCCAAAAAGGGTGAAAATGGGGCCAAAATGGGGCAAAATGGGGCCAAAAAGGGTGAAAATGGGGCCAAAATGGGGCAAAATGGGGCCAAAAAGGGTGAAAATGGGGCCAAAATGGGGCAAAATGGGGCCAAAAAGGGTGAAAATGGGGCCAAAATGGGGCAAATGGGGCCAAAAAGGGTGAAAATGGGGACAAATGGGGACAAGAAGGGTGAAAAGGGGCCAAAATCGGTCAAAATGAGGCCAAATAGGGCCAAAAAGAGTGAAAATGGGGCCAAAATGGGGCAAAATGGGGCCAAAAAGGGTGAAAATGGGGCCAAATGGGGCCAAGAAGGGTGAAAATGGGGCCAAAAAGGGTGAAAATGGGGCCAAAAAGGGTGAAAATGAGTCCAAAATGGACCCAAACGGATGAAAATGGGGCCAAATAGGGTGAAAATGGGGCCAAATGGGGCCAAAATGGGTGAACATGGGTAAAAAATGGGACAAAAAGGGTGAAAATGGGTCCAAAATGGGGCAAATGGGGCCAAAAAGAGTGAAAATGGGGCCAAAAAGGGTGAAAATGGGTCCAAATGGGGCCAAAAAGGGTGAAAATGGGGCCAAAAAGGGTGAAAATGGGGCCAAAGTGGGTCTAAATAAGAACCCCCAAACCCCATTAAGAACCCCCCAAACCGCCTTAAGAAACCCCAAAACCCCCTTAAGAACCCCAAAACCCCTTTAAGAACCCCCCAAAACCCCCTTAAGAACCCCCCAAACCCCCTTAAGAACCCCCCAAACCCCCTTAAGAACCCCAAAACCCCCTTAAGAACCCCCAAAACCCCCTTAAGAACCCCAAAACCCCCTTAAGAACCCCAAAAACCCCATTAAGAACCCCCCAAACCCCCTTAAGAACCCCAAAACCCCCTTAAGAACCCCAAAACCCCCTTAAGAACCCCCCAAACCCCCTTAAGAAGCCCAAAACCCCTTTAAGAACCCCCAAAACCCCCTTAAGAAGCCCCCAAAACCCCTTTAATAACCCCAAAACCACCTTAAGAAACCCCAAACCCCCTTAAGAACCCCAAAACCCCCTTAAGAACCCCAAAACCCCGTTAAGAACCCCAAAACCCCGTTAAGAACCCCAAAACCCCGTTAAGAACCCCCCAAAACCCCCTTAAGAACACCCCAAACCCCCTTAAGAACCCCCAAAACCCCCTTAAGAACCCCCAAACCCCCTTAAGAACCCCCCAAACCCCCTTAAGAACCCCAAAACCCCCTTAAGAACCCCCAAAACCCCCTTAAGAACCCCCCAAAACCCCTTTAAGAACCCCAAAACCCCGTTAAGAACCCCAAAACCCCCTTAAGAACCCCCAAAACCCCTTTAAGAACCCCAAAACCCCTTTAAGAACCCCCAAACCCTCTTAAGAACCCCCAAACCCCCTTAAGAACCCCCCAAAACCCCTTTAAGAACCCCCAAAACCCCCTTAAGAACCCCAACCCCCCTTAAGAACCCCCCAAAACTCCTTTAAGAACCCCCCAAACCCCCTTAAGAACCCCCAAACCCCCTTAAGAACCCCCAAAACCCCCTTAAGAACCCCCAAAACCCCCTTAAGAACCCCCCAAAACCCCCTTAAGGACCCCAAAACCCCCTTAAGGACCCCAAAACCCCCTTAAGAAGCCCCCAAAACCCCCTTAAGAACCCCAAAACCCCCTTAAGAACCCCCCAAACCCCGTTAACAACCCCAAAACCCCCTTAAGAACCCCCAAAACCCCCTTAAGAACCCCAAAACCCACTTAAGAAGCCCAAAACCCCCTTTAAGAACCCCCAAAACCCCCTTAAGAGCCCCCAAAACCCCTTTAAGAACCCCCCAAAACCCCTTTAAGAACCCCAAAACCCCGTTAAGAACCCCCAAACCCCCTTAAAAACCCCCTTAAGAACCCCCAAAACCCCGTTAAGAACGCCAAAACCCCTTTAAGAAGCCCCAAATCCCCTCAGGCTCCCCCCTCTCACCGAACTCCTCCGGACTCAGCCCCTCGTGCAGCGTCTCCAGGGCCCTTCGGAAGTAACCGGAGGTTTCGGGGTCCAAGCGGGCCCGAACCGGGGCTTTTAACCGGGTTTTCCCCCCGGTACCGAGCTCGGAGCGGCGGCTCCGCTTCACCGCCATGCTCTGAGGTAAAGCCCGCCTTTTTCCCACAATGCACCGCGGAAAGGGGGAAAATGGCGGCGGCGGGAAGGCCTCGGTGTATCCCAGAATGCACCGCGCTCCAATGCATTCCAATGGACGCCGTGCCTCGGTGTATCCCAGCATGCACCGCGCTCCCAAGTGATTCCAATGGAAGCCATACCTCGGTGTATCCCAACATGCACCGCGCTCCAATGCATTACAATGGAAGCCGTGCCTCGGTGTATCCCAGCATGCATCGCGTTTACATGTATTCCAATGGAAGCCGTGCCTCGGTGTATCCCATCATGCACCGCGCTCAAGTCAATCCAATAGGGTTAAACCTCGGTGTATCCCATCATGCACCGCGCTCCCCATTGATCCCAATGGAAGCCGTGCCTCGGTGTATCCCATCATGCACCGCGCTCAACGCATTCCAACGTGCTTAAACCTCTGTGTATCCCATCATGCACCGCGCTCCCATTGACTCCAATAGACCTATGCCTCGCTATATCCCATCACACCCCGCGCTCCCCATTGATTCCAATGAAAGCCATACCTCGGTTTATCCCATCATGCACCGTGCTCCCAATTGATTCCAATGGAAGCCATACCTCGGTGTATCCCATCATGCACCGCGCTCAATTCATTCCAACGTGCTTAAACCTCGCTATATCCCATCATGCACCGCGCTCCCATTCACCCCAATGGAAGCCATACCTCGGTGTATCCCATCATGCACCGCGCTCCCATTCACCCCAATGGAAGCCATACCTCGGTGTATCCCATCATGCACCGCGCTCAACGCATTCCAACGTGCTTAAACCTCGCTGTATCCCATCATGCACCGCGCTCCCTATTGATTCCAATGGAAGCCATACCTCGGTGTATCCCATCATGCCCCGCGCTCCCATTCATCCCAATGGAAGCCATACCTCGGTGTATCCCATCATGCACCGCGCTCCCATTCACCCCAATGGAAGCCATACCTCGGTGTATCCCATCATGCACCGCGCTCAACGCATTCCAACGTGCTTAAACCTCGCTGTATCCCATCATGCACCGCGCTCCCTATTGATTCCAATGGAAGCCATACCTCGGTGTATCCCATCATGCACCGCGCTCCCTATTGATTCCAATGGAAGCCATACCTCGGTGTATCCCATCATGCACCACGCTCCCCATTCACCCCAATGGAAGCCATACCTCGGTGTATCCCATCATGCACCGCGCTCCCTAATGATTCCAATGGAAGCCATACCTCGGTGTATCCCATCATGCACCGCGCTCCCCATTCACCCCAATGGAAGCCATACCTCGGTGTATCCCATCACGCCCCGCGCTCCCCATTCACCCCAATGGAAGCCATACCTCGGTGTATCCCATCATGCACCGCGCTCCCATTCACCCCAATGGAAGCCATACCTCGGTGTATCCCATCATGCACCGCGCTCAACGCATTCCAACGTGCTTAAACCTCGCTGTATCCCATCATGCACCGCGCTCCCTATTGATTCCAATGGAAGCCATACCTCGGTGTATCCCATCATGCCCCGCGCTCCCTATTGATTCCAATGGAAGCCATACCTCGGTGTATCCCATCACGCCCCGCGCTCCCCATTCACCCCAATGGAAGCCATACCTCGGTGTATCCCATCATGCACCGCGCTCAATTCATTCCAACGTGCTTAAACCTCGGTGTATCCCATCACGCCCCGCGCCCCCATTCACCCCAATGGAAGCCATACCTCGGTGTATCCCATCATGCACCGCGCTCCCCATTGATCCCAATGGAAGCCATACCTCGGTGTATCCCATCATGCACCGCGCTCAATTCATTCCAACGTGCTTAAACCTCGGTGTATCCCATCATGCACCGCGCTCCCATTGATCCCAATGGAAGCCATACCTCGGTGTATCCCATCACGCCCCGCGCTCCCCATTCACCCCAATGGAAGCCATACCTCGGTGTATCCCACAATACCCCGCGCTCCCATTCACCCCAATGGCCCTCCCTACCTCTCTATATCCCATCCTGCCCCGCGCTCCCCCTCCCAGAAGCCTTTGCGGCCCCTCCCGGCTCTCTCGGACGCCTCCGGTCGCTCCCGTAAGAACCCGGAGGGGGGGGGGAGGGGGGGGAAAGGGGGGGAGGGGGGGGAGGGGGAGGGGGGGGTGGGGGGAGGGGCCTCGGATGCTTCCCCTCCCCCCACCTCCTTCTCGTTCTTTCCAGCAGGATCTCGGGGCCCCCAACGGGAGCCATGGTGAGGGAGAAACCCCGCCCCCAGCGCGGCCCCATAGAGACCCATAGAGACCCATAGGGAGCCATAGGGAGCCATTGAGACCCCATTGAGACCCATTGAGACCCATAGGGACACATAGGGACCCATAGAGACCCATAGGGACACATAGAGACACATAGAGACCCATAGAGAACCCATAGAGACCCCATTGAGACCCATAGGGAGCCATTGAGACCCATAGAGACCCATAGGGACCCCATTGAGACCGATAGAGACCCATAGAGACCCATTGAGACCCATAGAGAGCCATAGGGAGCCATTGAGACCCATAGAGACCCATAGAGACCCCATTGAGACCCATAGGGAGCCATTGAGAGCCATTGAGACCAATAGGGACACCATAGAGACCCATTGAACCCCATAGAGACCCATAAAGACCCATAGAGACCCATAGAGACCCATTGCCCCCCATTGTCCCCCCATTGCCCCCCATTGCCCCCATTGAACCCCATAGAGACCCATAGAGACCCATTGCCCCCCATTGTCCCCCCATTGACCCCCATTGCCCCCATTGAACCCCATAGGGACCCATAGAGACCCATTGACCCCCATTCCCCCCCATTGCCCCCATTGAACCCCATTGCCCCCACTGACCCCATAGAGCCCCATAGAGACCCATTGAGCCCCATTGCCCCCCCATTGAGCCCCATTGAGACCCATTGCCCCCATTGAACCCCATAGAGACCCATAGGGACCCATTGAACCCCACTGAGCCCCACTGAGACCCATTGCCCCCCATTGAGCCCCATTGAACCCCATAGACACCCATAGAGACCCATAGAGACCCATTGCCCCCCATTGAGACCCATAGAGACCCATAGAGCCCCATAGAGCCCCATAGAGCCCCCATAGAGCCCCATAGAGACCCCATAGAGACCCATAGAGACCCATAGAGACCCATAGACACCCATAGAGACCCCATACAGCCCCATAGAGAGCCCATAGAGACACATAGAGACCCCATAGAGACCCCATAGAGACCCATAGAGACCCATAGAGACCCATAGAGCCCCATAGAGACCCATGGAGACCCATAGAGACCCATAGAGACCCCATAGAGACCCCATAGAGCCCCATAGAGCCCCATAGAGACCCCATAGAGCCCCATAGAGCCCCATAGAGCCCCATAGAGCCCCATAGAGACCCCATAGAGACCCATAGACCCCCATAGAGCCCCATAGAGACCCATAGAGACCCATAGAGCCCCATAGACACCCATAGAGACCCCATAGAGCCCCCATAGAGACCCATAGAGACCCCATAGAGCCCCATAGACACCCATAGAGACCCCATAGAGCCCCCATAGAGCCCCATAGAGACCCCATAGAGCCCCATAGAGCCCCCATAGAGCCCCATAGAGCCCCATAGAGACCCATAGAGCCCCATTGATCCCCATTGCCCCCCAGCACGGGCGCCTCAAGTCCCGCCCCCCGGATGTGGGGCGGCTCCGGCAGCGGGAGGAGCGGCTCCGCCAATACCGGGAGAGCATGCGGGAGCTGCGGGAAGGCGTGAGTCACGTGACCCCCAGCCCTGCCCCATAGATCCCTGTGACCCCCAGCCCTGCCCCATAGATCCCTATGAACCCCAGCCCCATAGATCACAGTGACCCCCAACCCTGCCCCATAGATCCCTGTGAACCCCAGCCCCATAGATCCCTGTGAACCCCAACCCTGCCCCATAGATCCCTGTGACCCCCACCCCTGCCCCATAGATCCCTGTGACCCCCAACCCTGCCCCATAGATCCCTGTGACCCCCAACCCTGCCCCATAGATCCCTGTGACCCCCACCCCTGCCCCATAGATCCCTATGAACCCCAGCCCCATAGATCCCTGTGACCCCCAACCCTGCCCCATAGATCCCTGTGAACCCCAGCCCCATAGATCCCTGTGACCCCCACCCCTGCCCCATAGATCCCTGTGACCCCCAACCCTGCCCCATAGATCCCTATGAACCCCAGCCCCATAGATCCCTGTGACCCCCAACCCTGCCCCATAGATCCCTATGAACCCCAGCCCCATAGATCCCTATGAACCCCAGCCCCATAGATCCCTGTGACCCCCACCCCTGCCCCATAGATCCCTGTGACCCCCAACCCTGCCCCATAGATCCCTATGAACCCCAGCCCCATAGATCCCTGTGACCCCCAACCCTGCCCCATAGATCCCTATGAACCCCAGCCCCATAGATCACAGTGACCCCCAACCCTGCCCCATAGATCCCTATGAACCCCTGCCCCATAGCTCCCAATGCTCCCCAGCCCCATAGATCCCATTGACCCCTAACCCCAGCCCCATAGCTCCCAATGACCCCTAAGCCCAGCCCCATAGGTCCCAATGCCCCCCAGCCCCATACATCCCATTGACCCCTAAGCCCAGCCCCACGGCTCCCCATAGACGGGGGGCTCGGTGCTGGCCCTGACGGCCTCGGTGCTGGCGGCCAATCCGGACGTGGCCACGTGCTGGGGGTGGCGCCGGGAAGCGCTGCTATTGGAGCCCCCGGGGCAGTGGTGAGTAACGAGGCCTCCCATTGGCTGCGGAGGGCAATGGGGGGCAATGGGTTTATGGGGCTCTGTGGGTCTCTATGGGTCTCTATGGGGTCTCTATGGGTCTCTGTGGGGTCTCTATGGGTGCCTATGGGTCTCTATGGGGTGTCTATGGGGTGTCTATGGGTCTCTATGGGTCCCTATGGGTCTGTATGGGGTC